CTTGAAAATTATCTTTCTAAAAATCCCATTGAGTTAGTAGCTTCTAATAATTTTGAGAAAGGCTTTAAAGCTTCCGTCGATAAAATCATGAATATTAATAAGTCTTTCCAACAAGTTTTATCTTGTGATTTGCCTCCTGATTTATCTTGCATTGTAAATAATAGTTTGCCTAAATCTTTTTGTTCTTTCTTTTCTCCCCCTTTAAACATTACCTCTTGTGAATGTGATAGTAATGTACTGTACTCCAACAATTATCAGTTGGATTCTTCAGCTTCCACTTCACATGAGCCTGAGTGTTTTAAAATTTTCAATAAAAATTTAACTCCTACTGATAGGAGTGTTATTGACTTTCTTGGTTGTAATGTTTACTTGGAAGAACTTGCTCTTTGCATGTCCTTATGCTACTCTAGATCTATCCAAGTCTCTCTTTTTGGACTAGATACTGCTGCTAGTTCAATGTTTCTCTTGCAGGAACCACCACTACCAAGGAAGATCAATAAAGGAGAAGTGAGCACATTGAAGAAATACATGTTTCTCATCCAGGATGAGAACTTCTCCTACAAGAGCTTAAAGAGATTCCGTTCTAAAGGTTGTCCCTTTCCTTCCTTACCTTTTATCTTTTAATTTATTTAGCTATCTTGTGAGATAAGTGTGAGGGAGGGACATAACCAGTAGTAAAAGTAGTTTGTTTTCTTTTCTCTTCCTCCCCTTTTTGATTTTGGTTTCTCTTGTTTAGGGTTGCACTTAAGTTTTGCATTGGGGACAATGCAAAGTTCAAGTGTGGGGGAGGGATTGATGTTCAGTGATTGTGTTGTGTTTTTCTGTGCTTAATGAAAAATCTAGTTTTCTAAAAAAATTTCAAAATTTTGATTGATTTTTTTTAAACTCAATTTGAAGATTTTGAGTCAAAATTTTTGAAAATTTTTGCTTCAAGTAACTTACACTTGAATTTGTGTATTCTTGGACTTTGGTAAATGTATATGAACTTGTATTGATACTCATAAGAATTGCTATTTGTTCAAAGTTGATTATTTTAGTTTCATTGGTCACAATTCTTCAAGCTTGCTTTTATATTGATTGTGTTAATGCATTGTGATTAATCTGGAGTACAATTAATCTTTGTACATGAGCATTTGAGATTTAGCCTTAGGGGTGGGGGTTACAAGTTTGGGGGTGGAGAGGGAGAGGGAACGGATAGGGTGGGGGTTACAAGTTTGGGGGTGTCGAAGGGTTTAAAAAAAGGAGAGGGAATGAAAAGATCAAAAGGTTAGGCTTCCAAATTTAAAAACTGTGAATCAGACCCCAAAACTGTCTAGATACACAGGAGCAAAGTGGGTATTAAGAAAAATAACTAAGGGTAACACAGGGATTCAAAAACTAGAATATGCAGAATACGAGCAAGCACCACGACAGATATGACTCAAGCCGCGGCACCTATTACAAAAATACAAAACTTGGGTAAAAGAGGGGTGCTGCGGCTCATGATTACTCATGTCACGACGCCTCAGACAGAAGTGGAACTCTGGGAAAGAGGACAGGCATCACGGCTTCTGGGCACACACGTTGTGGCGGGCTTTACAGAGACGCGACTTAAGAACAAAGACAAAGGCACCGTGGAGAATAGTACCAGAGGTCGCGGCGCCTATTATAGAGAAAGCACATTGAGAAAGGATAGGCCGCTGCAGGGCATAATCTCATCCACTGCGGTGGTTATTACAGAATGAGCAAAAACAAAACAACCACTAGACACTAACTGGACCTAGGAAACAACAAAACACAGACAACCACTTAAAAACTAAACCCACAAGCCTCAAATTAACATAAGCTCCAGAAGAATCAAAGTAACCAATGAAAATCACATTATCAAAGAATTTTTAGTCAGAGCCACTTGATATTCTAGATGTAACAACAAGGGCAAGATTAATACTATAAATTAAGGTTAGACGCACTTCGCTGATTACGCCAGTTAGAAATCAGCTACTCCTTTTTGCTAGGATCCAAAGTCTGAGGAAGACCCCTTCAGGCCTACAAAAATGAAGATCAAACATAAAAATACTGAAATAAAAAAAAAAAAGAAATGAACAATACAAGAGGAAAGTTTAGAGCTTGGGTTGCCTCCCTAGTAGTGCTTGGTGTATAGTCCTTAGCCTGACTTTCCAGTTGCTTAAGATTCCTCTAATAAGGGAAAGATGACTGTTTGATGACCCACCAGACAACCCCAATAGTGCTTCAATCTTTGACCGAATACTTGGAACTTTTCACCATCTTTTCCTTTCAGCTCTATCACCCCACGGCCATGAATACCCGCAACTGTGAATAGACCAGACCACTTCGATTTGAGCTTCCCAAGGAAGAGTTTGAGCCTTGAATTGTACAATAGTACTTGTTGACCAGGTTGAAAAGTTCTAGGAAGGATTTTCTTATCATGAAGTCTCTTGGTCTTCTCTTTGTATAGTCTTGAACTTTCATAGGCATTGAATCAGAATTCCTCGAGTTTATTCAATTGCAACAGTCGCCTTTCACCCACAGCCTTTACATCAAACTTGAGCCTTTTAATGGCCCAATACGCATTATGTTCCAGTTCAACAGGGAGATGGCATGCTTTTCCAAATACAAGTCTATAGGGTGACATGCTAATAGGCATTTTATATGCCGTTCAATAGGCCCACAAGGCATCATCAAGTTTAGAGGACCAATCCTTTCTTGTATGTCCCACCGTCTTTTCTAATATCTTCTTGATTTCATAGTTGGAGATCTTTGCTTGGCCATTAGTTTGAGGATGATAAGCCAATGCAACCTTGTGTTTGGCACCATGCTTCTTCAAGAGAGCTCAAAATTGAGCATTACAGAAATGGCTTCCTCCGTCACTAATTATTGCTCTTCGGGTTCCAAACTAGGTGAAAATGTTTTTCTTCAAGAATTTGATAACAACCTTGGCATCATTTGTTAGGAAGGCGATGGCTTCAACCCATTTTGATACATAATCCACTACTATCAAGATGTATTGATTGTTGAAGGACTTAGGGAATGGTCCCATGAAGTCAATTCCCTATACATCAAATAATTCCACATCAAGCATGTTATTCAGGGGTATTTCATTTCTTTTTGATATATTGCCCATCCATTGGCAATGATCACAAGTCAATAAAAATTCATGTGCATCTTTAAACAAGGTAGGCTAGAAAAATCCAGATTGCAAGACTTTTGCAGCAGTCTTGTTACTTCCAAAGCGACCTCCATATTCAGATGAATGACAGCATCTCAGAATTTCTTCTTATTCACATTTTGGTACACACCTTCTTAGCAATTGGTTAGGGAAATGATGAAACAAGAATGGTTCCTCCCAATGGTAGAGTTTGACGTCATGTAGGAATTTTCTTCTCTGATGATGGTTCAAATCCTGGGGAATAATGTTGCACACAATAAAATTGATGATATTAGCATACCATGGCTTCTCGGTGTGAGCTATAGTAAAGAGCTGTTCATCAGGGAATGTTTCATTAATGGTCTTGTCCACTTCGATCTGGATAAATGATCAGCAACTTGATTTTCTGTGCCCTTTCTATCAACAATCTCTAAGTTGAACTCTTACAATACAAGCACCCATCTAATCAGTCTTACTTTTGACTCTTTCTTGCTAAAGAGGTATTTAAGTCTCTATACATAGTGACTTTGGCTCCCATAAGGTATGATTGAAACTTCCCAAATGCAAACACCACAGCAAGCAACTCTTTCTATATGGTGGTATAGTTTTCTTGAGCATCATCTAATATGCGGCTCGCATAGTAAATTGGGTAAAAAGTCTAATCCCTTTTTTGCCCAAGCATTGCTCCCACAGCATAATCAGTGGCATCACACATCACAATGAAGGGCAAACTCCAATCTGGGGCCATCATTATAGGAGCAGAAACAAGTCTCTTCTTCAATTCTTTAAATTCTCTATAGCATGCATCATCAAAATTGAACTCTACATCCTTTTCAAGTAAAGCATAGAGTGGCTTGGTGATCTTAGAAAAATCCATGATGAAACGACGATAAAAGTTGGTATGTCTTAAGAAACTTCTCACGTCCTTTACATTTGTTGGTGGGGGAAGTTGTTCAATAATAGAGATCTTTGCTTTGTCAACCTCTAGTCCATCCTTGGACACTCGATGACCTAACACAATACCCTCTTTCACCATGAAGTGGCACTTTTCCCAGCTAAGTACAAGGTTGGTTTCTTCGCACCATTGTAGAACACTTGCTAGATTGATTAAACACTCTTCAACTGAATCACCAAAGACTATAAAGTCATCCGTGAATACTTCCATAGTGTGCTCAATCGTGTCTGCAAAGATGGCCATCATACACTGTTGAAATGTGATTGGTGCATTGCACAACCCAAAAGGTATATGTTTAAATGTAAGGTTCCATAAAGACAGGTGAAAGTTGTTTTCTCTTGGTCTTTTGAAGCTATAACAATCTAATTGTAGCTAGAATACCCATCAAGAAAACCAAAGAATTCCCTTCTGGCAAGCTTGTCCAACATTTGATCAATAAACGGGAGAGAAAAGTGATCTTTCCTAGTGGCGGCATTCAACTTCCTGTAGTCCATGCATACTCTCCACCCCGTAACAGTGTGAGTAGGAATAAGCTCATTATGAGTGTTAGCCACTACAGTCATACCACCCTTTTTAGGGACGCATTGGACTGGGCTCACCCAAGAGCTATCAGAGATGGGATAAATGATTCCTGTATCAAGCCACTTGAGAATTTCCTTCTTCACTATTTCCTTAATGATCGGATTTAGCCTTCTTTGATGTTCAATTGAGGCTTTACATTTGTCTTCTAGCAGGATCTTATGCATACAAGTAGAAGGACTAATACCTTTAATATCTGTAATTGTCCATCCAATGGCTTTTTTATGAGCCTTAAGGACTTCCACCAATTGCTCTTCTTGTTGCACAGAGAGATTAAAAGAATAATCACTGGTGGGTATTATCAGAGCCCAAGTACACATACTACAAATGAGTTGGTAAGGTCTTAAGTTCAAGTATTAGAGGCTCTTCAAGAGATGGCTTTAGAGCCTGTCTTTCTAGGGATGAAAGGTCCAGAGTTTCAAACTGTGCTCGGCCCTTGGAGTAAGAAGATGAGGCATTCATCAATGCCAATACCTCTTCTACATCATCTATTTCGAACCCCCACAACATAGCTTCAAGAGGGTCCTCAAACATTGACTTGTTAAAATCCTCTTGCACAATCTGATCAATGATGTCTATACAAGAACACTGCTCATGATGGCTTGGGGCTTTTATCAAATGGTGCATGTTGAATGTCACATGTTCATCATTAACCCTCAAAGTTAATTTCCCTTTTTTAACGTCAATAAGGGTTCTAGTAGTTGCCAAGAATGGTCTCCCCAAGAGCAAAGGCATCTCTTTATCAGCTTCAAAGTCAAGGATAATAAAGTTAGCAGGGAATATGAATTTGTCGACCTTAACCAATACATCTTCAATGATCCTTCGAGGGTACGATATGCTTTGATCAGCCAGTTACAAAGTAACAGTAGCCAGTCTAGCTTCACCTAAGTCTAACTTATTAAAAACAGAAAGTGGTATCAGATTTATACTAGCTCCCAGATCGCATAGAGCTTACCCCAAGAATTTGTTTCCAATATGACAAGGAATAGAGAAACTTCCCGAATTCTTCTGCTTAGGTGGAATTTGTTTGATGACATCCGTGAAATTCTTAGTCACTGTTACAGTTTCATATTCAGTAAACCACCTCTTCTTTGACAGAACCTCTTTAATGAATTTAGCATACTTTGGCATTTGTTCTAGGCCTTCCACCAAAGGTATATTAATGTACAGTTGTTTGAACATCTCAAGAAATTTCTTGAATTGGCCATCCTCTTGTTATTTCTTGAGTCTTTGAGAAAAAGGTGGCGGTGGCACATATTTAGGAGGAGAGGTCAGTGTTTTCTTCTTCTTTTTCTTGGCGACATCAAAAGTTACATGCTTTCCCTTCACCACATCTGTAATATCCTCCTCAGCTTGCTTTCTCTTGTTGTCATCCTAAGCTATGGGCTCTTCATACCCTTCTTCACTATTGTCTAGATCAATTTCCATATCATTTTGAGCTTCTTGTGCATGTTTATTAGGATCAACACTATCATGGAGGACCTTGCCACTCCTTAAGGTGATTGGTTTACATTCCTCTTTACTGTCCCTCTTTGGATTAGGAACAGTGTCATTGGGAAGGCTATTTCTTGTGAAAACATTCATTTGAGAGGCTAGTTGTCCCATATGGACTTCAAGATTCTTAATAGCAGTCTAATAAAGAGAGAATGTGGACTTATTCTTAGCCCTTGCAGATTCTTGATTTGCTAATAATTGAGCAAAGATCTTCTCGATTTTGGATTCCTCCTTTTGAGGATGTTGCTGTTGCAGTTAATGCTATTGTGGTTGGCCATGACAACCAGGAGGCCCTATTTGTTTAGCACCAGATGATAATATTTATGGCAGATTCAAACTTGGCCCATTCTGCCAAGAGAAATTTGGGTGATTTTTCAAGTTTGGATTATAAGTTTAAGAATACAGACTTTCTTGTGGTCTTTGCTACATATTGTTCTTATAATTGACTGTCTCTAAAGTGTAAGGGCACTAATAAGAATGATGTTCTTCATTACAATGGTCACAAGTATACCCCGGAGCCGAAGTGCATGAACTCCTGCAGTGTTGCCTTTCTTAATTTGCATCCCTAAATTGTCAAACCTTTTGGAGATCGCTTCAAGTTGTGATGCAATATCTCTAGATGATGAAGAGCTCGGCTCCTTATATCTCCCAAAACTTTGCCTTCTCTTGTTATATTGTTGCATAGTGCTAGACGCTACCTCTTCATACAATTCATATAGCTCATTTACCTTCATCTTTCCGATTCCTCCATTTGAAGTGGTATTCAGCATTGTTATTGTCTGATCATTCAACTAATTCCAGAAGGCTTCTATTAGAACATATTTCTTTTGCCCATGATTCGGACAATTTCTCCACATATCCTTAAATCTTTCCTAAGCCTCGTAGAATAACTCATCCAGATGTTGCTTAAAAGAAAGCAATTCACCCCTTAGTGTGGCTCGTTTACCTCTTAGAATAAATCTAGCCTTGAACTTTGCAACAAGCTCGTCCCAACTCTTAATCGAGTGTTCCAGCAAGGAATTCAACCACGTTTTTGCCTTGTGAGATAAAGACATAGGGAACAATCTCAACCTTAGAGCATCTTTAGTAACCCTGTTTTGCTTGAAGTTCTCGCAAACCTCTATAAACTTGGTCAAAAGCTCATTAGGATCATCATTGAAGTTTCCTTCAAAAGTACCAATCATCCCCAGTAGTTGAATCATAACGGCCTTGATTTCAAAATTCTTGGCTTGAATGTCTGGTAGCTGAATACTAGAGTAGAAAGTCTGCCCTTCCTTGTCTAGATAGTCATCAAGTGTGTATACGTCATTTTCATCCTGTTCTACCATGTTTTCTTGCGCTTCTGGTTCAAGTGGTGGTGGTAGAAGTAACTGGGGTTATTACTGAACCTCTGATGTGTTTTTAGTTTCTCCCGGACTGGATTCTTCTTTGGCTTCTCTTGAAGTAGATTCGTCTTTAGTAACCTCTTCCAAAATAACTTCCAGGCTTCCTTGCATGCGTTAGGAATTTCCTGCGAGTTCAAATCACAAGCATAAGTATCAAACTTGTCAAGTGAAATGAACTAAAAAAATACTACTACTCTACCTATAACTGTCACTACAAATGCTCAAAGAAAACTTAAGCGTAACCAATCACACAATAAGGACAATCAACCACAAACAATCTTGCTGTTAGTCCTTAGCAACAGCGCCAAAAACTTGTTAGTCGATTAGCTAAACCGCAAGCGGACGGGTCACAAGTAATATAAAAAAGTATCATTCCCTCAGAGACTAAGGCTAGATGAGTTAAAAATCATAATTATGTTTTTGATTAGGTTAAGTGAAACAAAAGTTATAAAAGAGTTTGTGAGATGAAATTAGAAAAACAATGATTCAAAACAATATAAAATCAACTTGACTTTGAAACAAATAAGGGACTGGGGTTATTCTTCACTAAAATACTTCATAAAACTGGATTAATCACTTCTCAGGTACTAGTTAACAATAAGTTCAGTTAGCCGAGGTTCACAGAATTGATTAAGCTTTCTCAAGTCAAAACCAAAATTTTGCAATTACAATAAAACATAGCAATCTCTTGCATTTGTTTGAAAAGGTTGCACTTTGAAAACCAAAACCCATTTTAGTCTATGCCAGGTTAACAGATAAATCTCTATTCTATCAACAAACCGTCTATTTACTCAGTTAAATTTCTAGACTAGCACATTTTTACCAAAGTTCACAGATTAATTTAACTTTCTTAAGTTTAAACTAATCAAACAATCAATCCAAATGACGGCTAGACACAAGGAAGCATTAAGCTCAAGGTAAAAACAACTGAACATTATCATTAACACTAAAGAGATAGTTAAACCAAGTCTCAATCCATACAATAGATCAAAATAACCTTAGAAAAACTGCTTTAGCTATACGGCTTTAGTAAAAAACTACAACTATAAGAATAGCTAGACGTCATTATAGAAACAAGAAGGGAAGAAGAAGAAAACCCAGAAAAATCGAGTAAAAAGCTTTGAATATCTTCTAGCTTTGAGCCCAAAGATCCCAAGCTTCTTGAGCTCCAAACCCTAGCAGAGCAAGCCTCCAAAATACCCCAAAGTCGAAGTATCCCCAAAAAAACTAAGTCCCCCAAAGTATAAGCCCTAATTTTTAAGTTACAGCTCAAAAGGCACAGCTGTGAGGGGTCAGACGCAGCGACGAATGGGTCATCCGCCATGGCGGATTACACAGAATGGATTTCCTGGGAGCAGCCTTGGCACTATGGTTCGTGTGAGCATAGGCCGCGGTGTATTACACCGAACAAGGACTTCTTTGTAACAGCTTGGGAGCTACGACAGATATGGTCAGGAGTCGCAGCGCCTAACACCGAATTGCATTCCTTCCTCTCTATGAAAGCTACCGTGGCATTTGTTTCCATGTGCTGTGGCGATTTGTCCCTTTTCAGCTTCTTTGCGCCTGGTCTCTCTTCCTTGCTCGCTCTGGGCTTTTTCCTGCAAAATTGACTCCCAGAACATATAAAAAGTGTGCTGAAACAAGCTGAATAAGTAAGAATTTTGAGAGGTTATCACATGCTCTTCTTCTTCCTAAATGCCCATAAACATTCTTAATCCAAGTGATCAATTCATTGTGAAACAGTTAATATTGTCATTCCAGTTACTTTTATCATCCCATGTGTCTTCCAATAACCTACTAAAATCATCATGGAGAACCTAAGGCGCGTTAAAACGAAAAGGACAAGAGATAGAGTTATTCAAAAACATACCGTAACACAATTGGAGAAGGAGAGGTTGATGGTCAAATTTGAACCAAGGAAGATTTTTAATGATGGCATCAATATAAATCGCTGTGGCTCTAGAGTTATCCATGACATGATCAATTCTACTTTCGTATCCTTCTCTTTTCCAAGCAAAGAAAGGGCCCGAACAACCCATATCAGTAAGCCTCATTTGATCTACCGAATTGCTAAACTTGCTATCAGCAGGGGTGGTTCGCATAGCATTGGATTTTCTTTCATGTGCAAATAGGGTAGCATTAAAGTTGCCTCTTATAAATTAAGGCCATTGATTACCCGGGTCAATTCTTGTAAGGTTATTCCAAAGGGACCGCCAAATATTGCTGTTTGGGCAAGCATAAACTGAAGTGAATAAAACTCTCTCATCGTTTTTCTCCGCTACAGCATGAATAAATTGGTCATTAACCTCAAGAATTTTAAAGTTGAAATTATCATTCGTCCAAGATACCCATATTCCACCTTTGAAGCCAGTCGCATCCACGATTTCTTAATGTTGGAAACCAAGCTTTTTACAAACTTGCTGAGCTTTGTCACCACTTGATTTGGTTTTAAAAAGAGCACAAAAGTCAATTTTATACTGTTTTTTTATTTCTCTGATGAGTCCAGGGAAGACCTTGGACCCCAGACCCTGACAGTTCCAAAAGATACAATTCATGGAGCAGGGTTTTGAGGGGCATTCATGCTTAGAGACCCCTTAGGAGAACAAGTAGCATCAGGTTGTTTATCCCTTATTATCATTTCATCTTGCCCCGTGATGAAATGACAAGGGACAAACATGTTTGTATTTTGAGAACCAGCTTTAGCATGGCTCGAAGAAGAAGCAAATTTGGGGCTGTCGGTATTTTCATAAAGTTCAGCTGGGTCACACACGTCTCCAGCCGGGTCCTTTCCTTTGCCCAAATCCGTTTCAGTTTTGCTGACGTTCTGAAGGGCTTCAAAAGGGTTATGCGCGTTCCAAAAGTTTGTTCTCGTGTGGGTAGCAGGTAGCGTCAATTTGATCTCTGTTGTTTTAATTTTTCGTGAAATAATTCCCTTTCCTGATTTTGTATTTCCTATTTTAGAAATATTGACTTGGTCCACCAGGACCACTTCATATTAGATACATAATTCTTCCCCACTGTTTTAGGATATCCGTTCATACCCTTCGTGATTCTCTCCTCTTCTTTCCTAACTTGGATATCATGATTTTTGGCTCCACGATTTTTGCGATTCTGATTTGGGTTGACATTTTTCTGTGAGATATTGTCTTGGTGATTAATACCAGATCCCAACTTGGCAATGTTTCCTATTCTCTTCCCTTTGGACTGTTAGACTAGGTTCCAAACTCCGAGCCCCTTTGTCTTCAGTACCGT